ATGACATAGAGGATATCTGTTACTTATGAAAACCCCTACTGAACTTGTATTTTTTCCAGTTGTGCTCCAGTATAAATGGGTGCTCTTCCTCTCTAAAATTAAAGGCATTGTGAATATTAAAACTGTTTTCATCCACAGCCATCTGTCCTATTATTATGTATTTTATAAGGTATTTTATTTTATATATTAATTTAATACCAGCTATGTTGTTCTGTCATATCTACTCGCAGTATTTATCACCATATTGCTACTGCGTGACTAACACATTAAGCGCTATTTTTTGTACATTTTGACCTCTTTTATTTGTGATTTATTTGGATTTTATGTGAGTGCTGTTTGCAATGTGTAAATAACGTTTTGTTCACTTCACAATATTTTACTTTAAAATTCATTTTCAACATTTTCATGAAAGTTGTCAAGGACCTGTAGGCATGCTGCTTTAAAAACTCTAGACCTATTTAGTAGTTGTTTTAACCTTTTACCCCATGAGCATATATTGCGAAAAATGGCCGTTTTCATTGAAAAGCATTCTGTTACAAGTTCAAAATGCTATGAAACTATGACAAATGCTTCAATACTGATGAAACTTTGCACAAATGTTGACTAGACCATAGCCTCTGTAACAGCATGCTCAATCGTAAATTTCATGTAACCATGGCAACGGGGGATGTCTCAAAATTGCCAAAAATCACTTTTTGCATTGTTTTTTCCCCATCAAATCTGATTTCAAAGTGCTGCAACTTCTCAATGAATTGAGACAGAGTAAAAGGCTTTTCAGCGTCTATTACTAGTTACCCTAAGATTGACCTGAGGCCATTTTTAGCCTGTCACATGTCCAAAATTTTCTTGGCGATGAGGGGGACTCCGCCCCCATTCAAACCACCCAAACAGAAGGGGGCACATCTCCCTTCTGGCAACCCCCTGATGTAACATTTGGATGGGGGACCGCGCCGAAAAAGTGGTCACTTTTTTAACAACATTTCTCAAACGAAAACCAGTGTTTTGGGCCTAAATAGGGCATTTTGTCACTGTTTGAGGCCTCAAAAGGGGGGGGGGGCAAAAAGCCGTCGAAACACGCTTATATGAGGGAAAATTTAATCATTTACACACTGCGAGTAAAATAATTTCCTAGTTCAATTGAATCCTTTTTATATGGATTTATACAATGTAGTTACACATACATAAAGCATGGTAAAAATCAATGTAACAAATACATATAACTACATGTATACTATAATTATATGAAAACTAAAGCAACGTAGTATAATTATAACAAACACATAGGCCTAGCAAACAGTAAGGTCATCCAAAAAAAAGTCAAAATAACATTTATCCTAAAAACAATATAATATTATTATAAGTACAGATCTTCGAAGTGTATTAATCCAAAGTGTTGTATGTTTAAACAAATTTAATGTTAGCGTATAAACGACTATGGTTAGCTTTTATGTTAACATTGTTTAGTATCACTTTACATGTCTATGTAATGTGTATCTGAAGTTTGCCCATTGTCCATGGTCGGTTACCCATAAATACTACATTAAACGACGATGCCCATCCTAAAGATGAACGAATAATTTGTGGGATGATCTGTTATTATAATTACATCCGATTTTTGGGGGATTTTTATTTCACAAAACTGCTTTCTATTTTTAAGTTTTATTTTACATCTAATATACTGGGATGCATATACATGTATAATGCTTCGCTCCCTCAGCAGTCAGTGTAGAGTATTAAAATGCGTGCAAAAAAAAGATATTTATAAACTTAAGCGCGGTATTCCTTCTTATTCGCAATGGCTAATTTTAGATTTTAAACATTATTCATTTGTCAGTAGGTTTAAAATTTAAGTTTATAAAATATTGACATTCTAAATATTATTTGTAAGATATGATTTCGCAGCATATATAGTGACTGTGTTTAAATTTAGCAAAATACTTTATTTTTCTCAGATTATATTTCAATAGTAAATAATATTATATAAAAACTAAAGCTTGCAGTTTGCATGTTATGTAATAGTTCATTTTATAACCTTATATCAACTTCTCTGGTTTGGAGACTTTGTTGAGATTAATTTCTATTTTATCTATAATTACATAATAGCGTGTGTGTATGTGTGTGTTTGCGTGCGTGCGTGCGTATCTGTGTGTGTTAACGAACAGCTATCTTTCAATACGCATCACCAAATATATTTACTGAATCTGTTTATGATCAGATCTAAAGTTAGTCCATGTTATGTTAGTTTTATCAAATATACTCACTTAAGTTTTTTTGATATAAACCATCATCATTTACAATGATATAAAGTATCATCAGAATCTACCAACTTAACACACACACCCGAGCCGCTTAAACGGCATTGCACGACCGTGCAAATGACGATATATGCATGCGTTATAAATCATAGCGAAAATAGGCGTTAGTTAAATGTTAGCGTTACACTATACACGCGTCCATGAAAAAGTTATTTCTTTTTTCACTGTTTACAGTTCTTATTTTTGATATGTGATATATTGAATATCATATTCGATAAAATGTTTGAAGTCGTTGAATAAAACAATTTTATGATTACCAGAAGCTTGCGTTATATGAATTTATTCAACTCGTACTCGTTCAATAAATTTATTATTGAACCCCCACGTCATTCAACGTCATTGTTATATTGCATTTACGCATCATCAAATCTGCTTACATCTACTTAATTCTATAATAATAACCATAATAATTATTCGATCTCTTTCATTTATTTTTTATTTTTTCATTTTTGTGATAAAATGAATTGTTGGTTTACATGAACATTACGATTATCCAATGAAAAGCGACGTTACAAACGTGCAATATTATTTAATTTCAATAAGCATCAAAATTCAAACTAATTAAAGCTAGCATTTAATAAAATTCGCGCATGAACGTGACTAATACTAAACTAGTTCAGTCCAGTTTGAAACCACAATGATGACATTGTTTGAATAAAGAGACTAGTTTAAACTTGCGATTCATCACATGTGACTTACTTTCCTGTAATAGTAAGGAGACAGGCCTATCATTCATTCCTATACATATGATTATATTTTTGATTGTAATTCTTTCTTGCTCCAGTTACATTCATCAAAATGCAGTTCTTGTTTTAGAGTTTTATATGGTTATAAGGTTATATGGCCAAAGTTGAAGCAATATGTCTGACATTGCTGCATCATCCGACATCTAAATTTGATACATGGTGAAATGATAAAAGTCTCATATCAATCAAATATAGTGTATTTTTAAAATAAGTATAACCTTTGATTGACTTAAATCATTCGAATACAACAATTAATTTGTCAATGAATTTGCCGTATATGATATCAATGCGCGGCGCATTGTTCACAGTTTGATATGTTGAAGTAACTCGTTTGATTTATATGCAAGTTTTAAAGATGAATGGCATAAAGATTGTATCTATTATTCAGAACTTGTTCGAACTTCTATTTTAAAAGCATTTAAAGAGGTAAATAAAAAATAAATCTTAAACTGTACAACTTTACATTTTTTTCATTTTCTTGACTGTACTAAATTTATTTATTGCAGTTTAAGAGTTATAGTAAGTTTTGTCATTGTCAAACACCAGTATTTCGTGCTCACTTAAATTGAAGTGTAGCTGCATTTAATTAAACACTTTTCACTCAAATCGGGCTTAGAAAAGCATAAAAATACGATTTTCAAATTATTTCAAAGTATGTTTCTTAACTATCTTTGCATATATTTCTGTTAAAAGTGCCCAAGCTCATTTATGTAAGAAATTCAAATGTTATGTTTTTAGGCTTTTAAACCTCAGTGGAGTCCCTTTAATTACGTCCCCTGATATGACTGATGCACTGCCGAGAATTAAATTTACTTTCTGTTAAAAGCAATGGTGGAAGGCAATAGAGTTTTTGTTGTGTGGGAACATTTCCACGTTATGTAACGAATACATTTCTCTTCTTTACAAAAAACAAACATGAATTTTATAATGCTTAAAGGAACTCTGCTGATGTCAAAAAGTCCAAAAGCATAAAATTTGTATTTCTTACCATTTTTAGCTGTTCAGCAGGGACATGAATTGTGGAGGAGGGGCGTGAATTCTATTTAGGATGCACTTTTGATGCCAATCCACTTATAATACGGTACAAGACTTTCACAAATTGAAATTCTCAGAAAAGTTTACAGAAAATATTTCCTGAGGTACTGCTATATGTTTGATATCTTTCTTCTTGGTAATGTTTCCTACATTCGGAACTGTTCATAATCGCTTAGATATGAGCATCGCATTTTTGCTGCCTTTGTAACGCAACAATTTATCATCATAAAAGTAGCAGTCTGATCAGGATCCATGCTGTTCGCTATCAGTTTCTCTACTTGTAATAGAGATAGTAAGCGAACAGCATGGATCCTGATCAGACTGCGCGGATGCGCAGGCTGGTCCGGATCCATGCTGGTCGCAAACGCACTATGTTGGTTTTGTCATGACGCGGCTCATATATTGTATCATACACATGCTGTAAATAAACACATTGTTAATTCTTTACCGTAGTTGCATTAAAAAAGATTTATTTTCTATTTTTTATCATTATTATAAAATATTATTTAGAAATAAAACTTAACTGATTAATCCCCTTACACATATATTAATTCTATGTATTTATTTATCTATCATAAAACTCCATAATTTTCCCTTTTTGTATATCACCTTGCCTATAAAGTTAAAGGACTGTTGAATGCATATACAAATGTAACTTCAATTTAATTTTTGTAATTTATATTTAATTTTTTTAAACTTACGATGCCTTTCCGCAAAAACTGACGATGCAAAATTTCTAATTGATTGAACAAAGTGTGCAACATGATAAATCACTATGCAGTTGGTAATATAAATTATATGATTAAGGTTAGAAAGTCGAGGAAAGATTAATAATTAGCAGTCTAATTACTGTTTGAGTAGTCACTCAAAGCACTAAAAATGCAGAATAATCACATTAGAATTCTTAATGTTACATAATTATTTACATTACTTGAATACTAAATGCATTTAACCAGCTGGGTATAAATAAGGTAACGTTTAGTCTCTTGTAGTCAGTTGAATAGAAGAACAGTTTGGTAAGTGTTATAAATATATGAATATGTATTTTTCGCTAATTTGATTTTCAGAATTTTGTTCCGACTTAAAATTTGTTCAATCTACTATTTTCCTCTAAATGCTATGATAGGTATGCAAAGTCTATAGGTGTTGAATTCTTATTTAAATTACTGAATTAAAGTTAAAATAATATTGTAGTTGATGAAACTTATAATAAAATGATAAATCTGCAAAAGAAAGAGCAGAGTCAAATTATTGTTTTTCATGTTAATTGTGACTGATAGGCCCATTCGGCCGGGTGTATAATAGTGTAGTGTTCATTGCTTTCTGTGTTTTCCAATGACACATAAATGAGCCGCGTCACGACAAAACCAACATAATGGGTTTGCGACCAGCATGAATCCAGACCAGCCTGCGCATCCGCGCAGTCTGATCAGGATCCATGCTGTTCGCTTACCAACTCTATTTCAAGTAGAGAAACTGATCTTGAACAGCATGGATCCTGATCAGACTGCGCGGATGCGCAGGCTGGTCTGGATCCATGCTGGTCACCAACCAATTATATTGGTTTTGTCATGGCACGGCCCTAATAAAATATTTATTTACTTACTTTACATAGTCGTTAAAAAGTAGGTGGATTTTATAGCAAAATTCTTTTAATGATCATTTTAATAATGGGCATTTTGTCAAGGGAAGATGTTGCATTTTGTAAAAAGTGTCTGCCTCTCACCGCATGTGTCGTAGGTTTGGACCATACTAAAATTTCCTAACTTATATTAGTCAGACCCAGGAAACAGACGCAATTATTATATCTTGAAAGCACTTGTTTTCAGTTTCTCTACTTGTTACATGGTTTGTATGCGAACAGCATGGATCCTGACCAGACTGCGCGGATGCGCAGGCTGGTCAGGATCCATGCTGGTCGCAAACCCATTATTGTTGGTTTTGTCGTGACGCGGCTCATATGTAAATACATATAATCCTATCATTTTAATCTAGACACCATGAAGTTATATATCCTGTTGGGTCTCATCTGTATGGCCGGTCTCGCATACGGTCATGGATTCCACAGAGGCGGGCTTTATGGAATGCGTGGTTATGGAAGGCGTGGTTATGGCATTGGTGGAGGCGGTTTAATTGGAGGTGGAAGCGGTTTTATTGGCGGCGGAAGTGGTTTTATCGGAGGATCTGGGTCATATTTTGGAGCCGGAGCTGGAAATGGCTATAGCTTTGGCGCAAGAGGATATAGTTTTGGACTACCAAATTATCATCACTGCAAAGGAAAATATTGCGGATACAGAGGGGGTTACTCGGGTGGTTTTCCATACCGCGGAGGATTTGGGGGATTTGGCGGTGGTGATGATTACGATGGTGGTTTTGGTGACAGTTTTTATGGTGGAGATTATGATGATGGTGGATATGGCTTTGGTGGAGATGACGGCGGGTATGGAAACTTTATGGGTGGATATTCCCGTGGTTACCGAGGCTTCAGAGGAGGATATTTTCCAAGAAGTAATTATAAATAAGCTCCTTAGCTAAACATTTTTACATTAAATTATATGTGGTCAGCAATGTGTTATTTAGTAATTCAGCTTTGTATAATATTGTTTGGATAGGGTTTTAAATCGTAAAAATACGTGTAACCGTTTTCGTACTATATAATTCGTATAATTATCTCCATTTTAACAAGATAATGAACTGAAGATTTTATTTTGAACATATGTTTATTTGTGGTAATTGTTGCACCTTTAATCATTTAAAGATATAACACAACATTACGCAGGAACATTTTTTTATCATTAATAATAAACATCAGCCAATGAAATATAATTAAAATTGCTTATTAATTATGATAATTTTTTTTATAGCTTACTACCCAAAGAAATATTAAACTTGCGGTCAACGATTTGATATGCAAAGGACCATGACTCCAACAAACACATCGACGACGAGTTTCTCTGTATGAACTATTTAAGTAAATGTATTAAATATCATTGCATCTATATATTTCTTGTTATATTTTTTGAAACTAAAACTACAGCAATTAATTTTTAATACCATTGCTATCATTGTCCATAATGTCATATCAATGCGGATTGCACCCCCCCCCCCTCTTCGCGCCGCTTATAATAAATGCATTTGAATGCAATCTGACCATGGTAGACACTTTTTAATCGCTGATTAATTAATAAAGTACTTAAATATCAGTTGCCCTTTAATCAACAATGGTCCTTTTAGGACAAGTTCGTTGTTTTTATTGGTTCCGAGGGATCAATCATTTCCCAAATTTTTATATTTCTCCTTTTCTAGATTTTTTTTTCTAATTCAAAACAACAGGTGTAAAGTTATGTGTGGAAGCCGTAAAAAGTAGCCATGTTCTTCACTTCAGTGTTGTTATAATATGTTTGGTCCTTCTTGATCATTGGTTTAAGAACATTTAATGTTGAAATTTAGATACCGCTTAAGTCGGTGCTAAGGGGCATGAGAGATGTTGCACTTTTATATTGTCTCACATGAACCGACTTAATAAAACCATGTCTGCAATTTTCATAAAATTGTCTTGTCAGATTTTCAAAACAAAATTTGAAAGGGAAAATGTTTTGAAACATGTTTAAAACCGACGCTTTCTCCTAAATCGAAGCATGTTTGAAAACGGCATATAACTACGTGGAAAAATAAATCAAATGTTTAAAATAAGATGAATATTTGTTTTATCATTGTTACTTCCAAAGCACTGAAAGTGAAAAACGTGCATTGAATTGCATTCTTTCGTTCAACACTATCTTGTTGACTGACTAAAATTTAAGCCGTCAGATGTTTCACTAACAAAATACCTGGAAAAAAAAGATTGAAGAGAAGCTGAAATGTAATTTTTACATGCGACAGACGTCCATTATTTTATATTTTCCACATATCACTAAGTATGACAGCATCATTGTTTTAGAAGTCTAATTAACCGTCATTGTTATGAGAATCATACGAAATAAAATCGTTCAGCTTGGCATATTTCTACGATACTCAGTGTGCTGGAAAACAATCGGTCAACTGTCATTTTAATAATAAAATACAATCTCATCAAATGATATTAATAGAACTTAGAAATAGATTATAAATATAAATTAATAATGAATGAAAGCAGTATTTTCTGCATTTAACATGTTTTAGGAGGTTTGTCATTAAATTGCAAAGAGAGGCTGCTATTGAAAGGTGTAACAATCTTGACGCAGGAATATCTATTGCCAAGATGGTGATGACTTTTTCTTGGCACCATGTCTTGCTGAAATATGCTCGACTTGTGTTACTCATGGCCATACAGCTGACTGATCTTTTGCATTTTTTTTTTGGTAATTAGTTCAGTTTCTTTGATTATATATGTTTGTATGGAAGTTAAAGTACCACTTTATTCACATATTCCTACGTTTTTTACTGTAACACTGTAAATTATTTCCTATCCAGCGCAATTTTCTTCATGTGATAAGTACCTTATCCGTTTTTAAACCAATATTAGAACATTATAATCTAAATATTTGCATTTTGTACAGAAAGATTAGTTTATTTCTGAGGCTTTTAAGAGGTCGTACAACTAGTGCGCATGTTTCTTCACCGGGTAATTTAAGAGATACTCAAATGTAACGTCATTAAAGTTCATCTAAATTCTATTGTACCTTATCCCCTCTGTTCTTCTTAATATTATATATTTATTTCTGAAGTTTTAAGTCTTTGATCTTGAAAAATTACTGTTTGTATCTGAAGTGAAATTATAAGCATTTTTGAAACTGTTTAAAAGTGCATGATTTGCAGATGAACAGAGTCTGCAATTTTCATTTTTATCCTCTCGAGTGATTTCCAATTGTTCAAACCTTTATTGTCAGATGTGACAAGGTATGGAAGGGGCCCTGTACAGTGGTTTTAAGGCGGACCCGTACTTTACTGCAGTGGTGTTATTTTTTTTTCTGGATCCTTGATTCTAATTATTCATTGTTACGAAGGTTAACTACTGTTTAAGCCGGTGCAAGGTGGCTTGAGATATTTTGCAATGGCAATTATCTCTCATGAATAGACTCAGTCAAACCGAGTATGCAATTTTCACATTTTTTAATGCTCTTAAGCTATCTTCCATTTCTAGATTTTGATGAACGCTTTGCATAATTTGTGTTTATTTAATAATTGCACTAGAAGTTATATTTTATTCAAGTTTAGCCCACTTTCAGTGAATAAGAGATGCTTTGTATAAAAATCTTGTAATGCTGCTGTTAAATATAGGAACTTAGATATAATTGTTCACATCTTAATTTAAGCTTAATAGTTAGGAAAACTGCTAAAATTCATATTATTTCTAAGGATTTAACTCATTACAGTGTTGGAACAGTACCTTGTAGAAATCATGATCACAAAATTGACAAATATCACTTTTTTAAGCGAATCTTACATTTTTCATTCATAATCGTTTATAAATCGGTTTGAAGAAATGCGTTAGTTGTCTTATATATCGGTTAAAAGAAAGGAATTAGTTGTCTAAAAGTGAATTTGGACGGGTAAAAAATTGATATTTTAGCATTTAATCATTCAAGCGCCTTATCCGGTATATACCGGAATAAGGTTTTTAGTGTGGTGTTCCAATACGATTTCCAAATGAAAATTAGCACGCAGCTCACCATGACTCGTGTACGACTCCGTAATCTTGAATATAATTTGCAGCGGTTTGGGGCTGTCGACCTTTTCTTGTGTTAATTAATGTTCCTGTTCATGTTTATACTTGGGGATCTTAAGAGGTCTCTTTTTTAGCCAGTGTAAATATTAGTTAAATTAAAATATCATTATGCCCAACAGAGTATTGGCAATAAATTTCCATCGCTTTTGTAAAACATCCCCTATATCGGCATTATTCTGTTTATTTGATCATATATTACCAATATCCACTGACCAGGTATGAAATGATAGAAGTTAAACATGATTTTCGTTAACTAGCTATCTTTAGTTTGAAGGAATATCGTTATATTATGAAATGAATATTCTAAACAAACTTACTTTTATTCTTGAACCAATTTCATTATTGAACCAATTTCAGAGAAATTTGCTTCGAAGAATTAATATGGCTTTGCACTTTCGCCTCAGAATATCGTCAAATTAGGAAATAAATATTGTAAACATACTTGCTGTTACTTAGTTAACATTCTTGAACCAATTCCCGATAATTTGATTCAAAGAACTGGTATGTCTTGTGCTATTATTACCTTTCATGCGTTACCAAAATCAACGTACTGCGTTACAAGAGTTATCGCGTAACGAATGTTTTAGGTTATAAAAATGCTAATTTGATTTAAATAACTACTTCTTGTCTTCTTAAAATTATGTTTGATTTAAAGTTGCAATATTACATTAATATAATAAATAACAGTAAGTGTTAAAATAATGATTTGGTTCTTTATTAGTCTGTTATAAGTGATATTATTATACTATACAGAAATGTTTTTTCATCACAACAAACATTCGATAACAAAGATATACAGAAATATGTTTGTTTCCTTTTCTCGCCATTCAGGCTTCAATTGTGCTTTTGGTGTGTGTCGCAGTTGATAAAGTGATTAACTTCTTGCAGACGATAAATTTGTCACTTTTAGTAATCTGTAATGAAAAAAAGAAAGATTTATTTTCGATATATGCAAAAGTCCCAAGATAGCGGGAAACATAAGCAAACTTGTGACATACATTAATGCACATATACATAGAATCACATAACACAATGGAGTAGGAAACGGCTTTTGAGATTTCCAAGAACAGAACAAACCTTATTCATTTAAGCTATGAAATTGAGCTGTGTATATATATGTAAGTGAAAAGTGAAAAGTAATAAATATTACAAAAGTCAATCGTTAATTAAATAACAACATCAATTTCTTCCTGTCTCAGTAAATACAATGTAGTTGGATTTGCAAGCATAGAAATTCTATCATCCATATAGTAATCTTTTTTTTGTTGTTATTTTTGATTGATTTAATAGAACAAAATGAATTGATGCAGTCATTAAAAATAATGGGGCAGTTGAGCATGCTCAAAGTCATATTGATAGCAAAAATGTACCAATGAATGTACTTAATATGTACTAATTTAGTAGTGCATGTACTATGTACTAATGTACTATGTACTAATGTTATTTGGAAAGATATGAAGCTTTAGCTATCATTGAAAATTTGAATTTCACAAACAAGGGTTTGTACGGTTTCCTTTTGACATAACATGTACATAATTCATGATTATTATAACATATACGTTATCCATGTTATATAATACTGCACATTTGTAACGTCACTTTTCATTGGATAATCTTGACGTTTATATTATTAGTTATAAAGATCGTTGACAGGTTATATGGCCCTATATAAACGGCTATTTGTAAATATAACCCTAACCGCTAGGCGAGAGTTATATTGCAAACAGCCGTTTATATACTGCTATATAACCTGTCAACAATCTTTATAACGAATTTATAATACAGCAAGCATCATTTTTTAGAGAAAAAATTAAGATTTCTTCATCAATCAACAGCAGCCGTGTATATAAAACTTTATAAACGTCAAGATTATCCAATGAAAAGCGATGTTACAAACGTGCAGTATCATTACAGCTGTCAATTTATTAAGAAATCTCACTTTTCTAGCCAAAAAAATGATGCTTGCTATATTATAAATTCGTTACAGGTTATTTGGCCGTATATCAACGGTTGTTTGCAATCTTTATAACTAATAATATAACTTATACATTGTTTGTTATTTATGTTATAAAACATATACGTAATCAATGTTACAAAACATATACGTTGTCAATGTTGTATAACAAATACTTTAACCAGGTTATAAAATAAACGTTATTCATGGTACATGTATATCACATAATACGATATCAATATTAACTAACATATTGAAATAATGATAACAGAACTGCGCTTAAATAATTCAAGTTAATAAACTATAAACTGGTTTCAATATCTGGAAAAAAGTGTTATATTTCTGTAAAAGAACCTAATGTGATAAAAAAAAACAATCCGCTTATAAAGACTGCTGTAAAAATTCCCATTAACTTGATGATTTAAATGAGCTGCGTCACGACAAAACCAACATAATGCGTTTGCGACCAGCATGGATCCAGACCAGCCTGCGCATCCGCGCAGTCTGATCAGGATCCATGCTGTTCGCTTACCAACTCTATTATGTATACAAGTAGAGAAACTGATAGCAAACAGCATGGATCCTGATCAGACTGTGCGGATGCGCAGGCGGGTCTGGATACTATGCTGGTCGCAAACCCATTATGTTGGTTTTGTCGTGACGCTGCTCAAATTATAAAGGAATAAATGCTTACATCTGTGTCCATATCTTGGGTAAAAGCCATCGTCGTTATATCCATTATTGTAGAAGTCGTTGTAACCGTTATTGTTGTAGAAATCATCGTTGTAGTATCTCCTACCCCATCCACGTCCTAGATATCCGCCCCTTCTGTAGCCACCGTAATAAAGACCGGGATGTCCTAGGGCACAGCCGGCGATACAGACGAGCGCAAACAAAAGTAGAAGCTTCATTGTGTCTGTAAATTATATATATAGGAATGTATTTTGTTTATTCGGTTTTACGGCGCAACCAACACAGATATATATGAATGTTTTGTTAATATAATTAATATATAAGATATTAAGATATTAATTGTAATAATGTGCAAAAAAACATGTCTTAACATAGAAATACTAACAAACATTCAGGTATAGCCAGTGTTTTTATTACTTGCCTACGTAGTGTCCACGTAAGTTTTGAACACTCGTCGGATATAACTTTTTCACAAGCATTTTATCAAAAATCAGCTTTAGTTTAAAGGTACTCCACTGAGATATAAAAAAGCCTAACAACATGAAATATGAATTTCTTACATATATCAGCTTGGGCAATTGAAACAGAAAAATTAGCAAAAGATAAAAACAACAACATCTCACTTACCGGTAATTTCAGGTCGACTTGCCACACGATTCAAACTCCTCTTTTTATAGTATTTACCTAATTAAGTGTCATAATAAATCACATTCATTCGTCAGGTGCTTTCAAAAATAATTACTAACCGTCATTTTAATCAATCCTTAAAAAAAATTATCACAAATATTAAATTAATATTCAAGTTTTTTTTTTAAATATACCTGAGTTTCTCTTGATAGACATAAGTATTTTCAGCCTTTAAAAAGATGCTGCTATTTTAGATGTGGGTTATTTAAATTGTTAATGTTGTCTAATTAAACGCAGTGTCACTCTAACTTATCCTTCACAAATACGCATTGTTATTTTTGACATGATTTTTAACACAAATTAACATCCTGTAATGAGTCCAATAATTATGCCAGTCTTTTCATATCAGAACGATTTAATTAGAAAGCAAAAAACAAAACAAAAAAAACAACAATTATGAAAAAAAAATACAACAAAAACACGACGGATAAATGCATTCATTCTATAAAGTAGGCCAGAACAATGGCATCAAAGTTTTCTATAAACTTTGTAATATTTCTGAAAATTAATATTTGTGTGCTTCATTTCTGATTTAAACGCCATTTTCTATGTTGGGTTAGTTCTATTTTAACCGGTGCTAGTGGGCGTACAGGGTAGATTGCTCGAATTGCTCAATTGAACAAAACCAGATCATTTTCAACGCTGCGTACATTATGAGTTTTCTCCTTTGCCTAATATGACCTGAAGAAGATGTACCTGGGCAACAATTTGATTCGACAATAACCATGACTATATTCAGTTGTGTTTGCACGTAAGCGGATGAAGGCTACACAGCCACGGCTGAATGCTGCACAACACAGTTAAGAACTGCTCATACTGCTGATGAATACCTCATAAACGCGGATTAATACTGGAGTTAAATATTGCACATACTCGGAAAAATAAAAGTGCCAACGCTTGCTCTTACGCGGATGAAAACTGCTTATACCATCATAAAAACTGCAAGTAAAGTGCATATACGCGGACGAATATTGCACAAACGCGTGTTTCCTTTAACTATACGGATCCGTGTTATCTATGTCTTCTCGTGATATGAATTCTTTTCTAAGCCTTCTCTTTGGTAGAAATAATATGTACATGCTAAGAGAAATCATCTGAAAAGTAAAGACCAAGATGTTTATGACTATTTACGGAGGAGATATGAAAAGTGGCGGATGACAAGGTTTAGAGGTTATGCGTGACTTGATAATGTAGTAATGGAATGTAGTCCTGTCTTACAAGCCACTTATCAGCCTCAATTTGATAGTCAGATTGTGTGCAAACTGCTTTTTCGGTGCCCTTCTAGGTGCATTACCGATGTGTTGGGTTTGCTTTGGGGGATGGGTTTAATTTTGGGGCTGCGTTCTGTAAACATCGCCTTGCCTTGTCCTCTTGTCCTTATCTTTGCTCTCATTTTTTACCAGGAAACTTTTTTATATTCCATTCGTGACAGTGATATTGATATTATTCTGCAAAATTGATGACTGACATTAGAAAGTTATAAAGCGCAGGATGATTAAATGACATATAATATTACCTTTTGACGTTAAGTGTTCCTTTACAAATACAATGTTATTATCGTTCTGTCATGTGACAAAAGCTAGGCAGACTAATTAAATAATATCTTATAAGTCGTGTGATTTATATCATTTCTAATTATTTCTCTCGGGTATAATCGAACCATTAGTGTTAATGTATTGTTCGAAGACAATTTTCATCTGAAAACCCTAGTACTATGTTGTGCCTGTGATTGTATATGGACAGATTTAATTTGTCCGCTAGTTAGAGAGAAAGGACTAGCTACAACGGAATAGTAAAAACAGACCCCAAAGGGAATGGACAGATTTCAAAAAACTTAATCTTATTTGAAATAAAACCAATACATTTCTAAATAGCAGTCTCAGACAAATTCACATTTATTCATTTTGTTATATTGAGATTTGCTTGGAACAAATATTCTACTCGGAGTTGTTCATTTTAAACACAGTCCCTTTAGTTCTCAAGATCAGTCTTTAAAATTAATGTGGACATGATACTTTGAGCTATGTTCATAAATACAAATATTTGCGAATCGTTTTGCATGAAGATAACGATTTTAATGTTCCAGCAAGGATGGTGGCACAAAGCGCAAGTCGTGCGTTGGGTTTACTGATACCCAAGCGAAAGGTAGTTGGCGGGGTTCCTTATAGCGTTTCTACTCAATTGTATGATTTAATTGTATGATTTAATTGTATGATTTAATTGTATGACTCGTCATTGCATATGAGGCTTCCTTGTGGGGACATAAGTCATATTCTTGTATAAATGAACAAATTTGATAAATTTGCGACTGAAACTTGGTTAACAAATTGGAAAACATTCAACTCTGTGATATAAAAATGTATTCTTTTTTTCCCCAAAGTCTTTTAAGCAAGCATATTTTAATAGAATGCCTTTTGACATTTTTCTCTTTTCCATTTTTAAAGAGCTATTACTTGTGTGCTCGAAATAGTATTGCTTGCTAAAGGTAATTTTATCAAATAAAAAGGAAATTTTGGAACATTACAGCTCCCTTGAGAATGGAAATGGTATTGAAACATTTGAGCCGCGTCACGACAAAACCAACATAATGGCTTTGCGACCAGCATGGATCCAGACCAGCCTGCGCATCCGCGCAGTCTGATCAGGATCCATGCTGTTCGCTATCAGTTTCTTTACTTGTTATAGAGTTTGTAAGCGAACAGCATGGATCCTGATCAGACTGCGCGGATGCGCAGGCTGGTCTGGATCCATGCTGGTCGCAAACCCATTATGTTGGTTTTGTCGTGACACGGCTCATTCATATATTAAAACAAATGCTAGATTGATTGGTTGTATTTATTTCTAAACAACAAAGTCAAATTTACAATGGTAAGCTTCCACACTGCAATATTTTAGCTGTTCAAACTTTACCCTTTCTTTGGAAAATCTGAAAAAAGAAAACGTAGCTTGAAATGAACTTGTAAATGTAAAGGGGAAAAATTGTCATACAGTATTTTCATTAACACATGTTTTATAGGTTTATCTTTAAAAAATGTGTGCTATATTGATCAAATGACAGTTATGCTGCTGAGTAAAGAAATATTTCTTTCCCTATTATCGTCTGAACGAATAAAATAAATAATTTCAAGAATAAATGTTATGTTACAAATTATCAACTCATATTTATAAATATTTAATATTAATTACATTTACGATGTCTTCTGTAATATCCTCGGCCATGCCCAATGCCAATTCCATTAAAAAGATGATTGCTGTATCCACCACGAAAGCCATCATATAAGCCATCATCGCCCCCAAAGCTGCCAATACCTCCAGCACCTCCCATGTACGATCCACTACCGCCACCTATGGAATAACCGCTGTAAAAGGGACTGCCACCGCCGATATACGATCCACTATCACTACCGCCTAAATAACCACTGTAAAACGGACTGCCACCGCCAATGTACGATCCACTTCCACCGCCTATGGAATAACCGCTGTAAAAGGGACTGCCACCGCCGATATACGATCCACTTCCACTGCCTATCGAATAACCGCTGTAAAAGGGACTGCCACCGCCGATATACGATCCACTTCCGCCGCCTCCGGAATAACCGTTGTAAAATGGACTGCCACCGCCAATGTACGATCCACTACCGCCGCCTCCTAAATAACCACTGTGAAAGGGACTGCCACCGCCAATAAACGACCCACTACCGCCAATCCCGGAATACATATCGTCGCCAGTACCAGCAAAGCCCAATCCTCCGCCAATACCAAGGCCGCCAGTATAGCTTATATAGGGGTTGTACAAGTACCTGCTGAAAAAGCGCCGCCTGTAGAGCCCTGGGTTATAATGTCCGTGACCATGATGTAAAATATGTGCACTTGCACAACTTATGGCGCACAGCAGTACAAAAAGAATTTGTAATTGCATTTTTATCTGGAAAGATAAAAAATCATTGTCAACCAATTGTAAATATTAAGTGATTAGAGCTATATCATTTTTACGTTTCCTATGAAAGCTTATATTAAATGTTTTCTTATCATTTTACAGAGAGCATCTTTAAATTATATGCAATAAATCATATTGGATTTCAAACATTTTTTTTTTCGTTAAACATGCTTGTGAAAATTAAAATCAGACATATCGTTATCCGATTTGGAATTGCATTCATTGCTTATTTGAAAATAAATTAAAGTAACATTTTTAAAAAAAATGATCATTGAATAATTATTAGACATAAAAGCACGTTCTTTTTTACTTATAATTTTCCACTTTTACATGCACGAATTACTGAAACAAAACTTGAAATAGGTATACCTATAGCATTTTTTAAAGAAATTTATCTCCGAAATATAACTATGAGATAAAATATAAAACCACAATGTTAAGCAAGCGTTTACCTTTGCAAATTGGATCATAATTTTTTTTAAAAAGCTTTAACTACACTTACCCGTAATAGGCTTCAAATGCCAAACCGAAGCGTTAATTCGTTGTATTTATACCGTTTTGCCGAAATCTTTTTATCAAAGTAATGTTCTTTATATATTTAATCGTCACAACATAATTATCTTTTTTTATATAAAATATAATAAAGCAACAACAAAACACCAACAAAAACAGGTAAAATGCAGCATGATAGTTCAAATTTGTTTGATGTTTATAAATGCGGTTCCAATGCATACAAAATTTTATGACGTAAACGCCAAATTTTTGTTTATTTTTTATGTATTGTTATTGATAAGCTTTCAGTCAAGTCTTTCTTGTGTTTTTGTGTTTTTCCTTTATGTTTTTTTAATTTAAAGATTATTTGTAATACATTTTAAACAAAAACATTATTAAACGTTAAACCATGATTAATTTGTATTTACCAAATGCAAAAGTACAATAAATTCAAATGACTTGTAAGCACAACATGACAAAGTATTTGTAGGCGAACTGAAATTGCATTAATTGATTAAAGACTAGTTTTCAGACGTGCAACATAAACAAACAAATTAACAAAAAACAGGCATGACAACGTGTCTGTAAGCGGACTGAAATTGAATGATTCAAGACTAGTTTTCAGAGGTACGGCAAAATACAAACAACAACAACAACAACAACAACAACAAAACAGAAATACAAACAAAAGCAACGATAACAAAACAGAAAAATAATTATGTGCATATATACATGTACATGCTAATTTATACTTATTTATTAACAAATTTCCTTGAATCTGAAGAAGAGTATGATTTGATGTTAAACTCCCATTATGTCCTAAAAAATGACAATTTATTATCAACAATGTCACCTTAAGAATTAATTGGTCAAAGCAAAAATGTTTATTTTGCATCTTGCAATAGACACAGAATTTACATTCATCTTTATGCGTCCATGCTATCCTTTTTGTACTTTCTTGTACATTTGTACTTGAACGTGTACATCTGTTTACATTGTTTTATGTTAACTATATGGCTACAATGTTGCTATAACATTTATGCAAATAAAATGTTGTTGTTGTCCTAACAAAATTTGATTTCTTTACTTTCCTTCTTCTTTTTTCCCCAAAAGCTTGTGTATGTGCGTGCGAGTGCGCGTGCGTGCATGTGTGTCATGTTAAAATTTACAAATAGTTGCTTATTGGCCAATAAGCTAAATCATCTTTTGTTTTTTTTTTATACTCTTTAGCAATAAGTACAGATATAATAGTGATTTAGTAATATTTGTATGGAAGTAAAATTCATAAATTCTTGACATTTTGCTCCTTTTATGACAAATGGTTCCACGTTCAGCGCTACTTTCTTCGCCGCGACAATATGCCTTTAATACTAAATAACTTAACTTTTGTGGATAATGATCATGCTAAAAGAATATTTGCTTTAATAATGAAATATTAATTTAAAGGCACATTTTGCATCAAAAACAAATAAAATATTTTCTTTTTAGAAATGGCAAACATGCATTTACTAGCTTCAGGGCATGTTAGAGGCTCGGTGCCTGTAGAAAAAAGCGCTAAAGTGAAAAAATATGTCATGAAAGTAGCAAAATGTTAACAAAGCGGTATTTTGACTTCCATACAAAAAACTAAATCATTAGAAATGTACTTATTGCCAAATAACAACAGATGAAAAAGATGGTTAAGGGAATCGGCCGATAAGTAACATTTAAGAAACTATAAAAGTACACCAAAAATGAAAAGCTTTTCAGAAATAAGAATAAATGCATTTCTTGATCATAATGGGCCTTTTGTAGAATTAAGGATATTAAGAAGAGCATAAACAGTTTGATTTATGGTTATCATGTCAGACAGTGGCAAAAAAATTTGAGCGAAACCTTTTTTCCAGATTAAAATGTTTGTGATTTCGAAATACTGCGTTTAATTCAAAGAGGTGATTTAATACTTACCACTTACCACTAATATTATACAATGCACTGTATACAATAAAGATAATGTATTATAATGCACGATCATTCATCACCACTTGTTTTGATGTTTAATTGACACAATTTATTATGTAACAAAAACAGTTTTTTTTTTATTTCTTTCATACTCGATAATTTGTTTTGTGTAGATTTTTGATATACATTGTACCTGATGTGTGACGAAGAATCACATCATTATTTCTGGTGCAAGTGAACTATTGAGAGAGATGCAATATACTAAAAAAAAATGATATATCGTGCAATAATTATTATTACCGTCTATGAAAACATTGATGCTTGTATTACGTCATTTCCGCTTTAACTTTAAAACCTTAAAAATGTTACATTGTGTAAACGTAATTTGGTGTTATTTTTGTTGTTTTTACTTCTTCTTTTTATTTTTGTTCCTCTTCGCTTCTTTCAATTTGTCTAAGCGTTAAGTGTTTTTGCTTTAACGAAATTGCCTTTTTAAACAAATAATAACGGACCAAAGAAGAAATAGCTGTACTTCCGGGGTAACGCTACACTATGCAGCATACGTTTTTTTTTATTGTTTTTTTGCATATTCGGCCGTAGATAATTTAATTTCAACGTGACTTCCGGTATATTTACTGACTATTTATAGATCTACAGACAGACTATTTATAGATCTACAGTCTATTTAAAAGAGAATGACTTCGTATTTTCAGTATTAAACGAGACGACTATACAACTAATTTATTATTTACCTAAATATATATAGTTTGTATACATTGTAAACATGAACATTTCTTCGACTTAAAAGAGGCTGTTCTTTTTTTCATTTAATAACAAAGCAAAGACTAACCAAAATGAAAAGCTGTATAAATCCATAACAATTTAATGGTTAGCATGCATTTCTAACAAAAAAAAAAAAAAACGAAGTAAGAAGTTTTAAGTTTTAACGGCTGTTTATTTGCAACTTATATTCAAGTATTCATGCATTTTGCTTGTTATTTAAGGTCCTTGGAAATTGCTGTGAAGTATCGTGGTGTCCATGTTATCCCTTTTTGGGCCATTTGTGTCCATCTTGAAATTAGAAAAAAATAGATTATTAACAGTATTAAAACAAAGATATCAGATGTTAAAAAGGATATGGATAATGTGGAAATATAGGTTAATAGGGTCACACCCCCCCCCCCAAAAAAAAAAAAAAAAAAAAAAAAAACCAGCAAGGTATTCCAAGATGACTATTATAAATTCTTGATTCACACCGTCTGGTGACTGACAATTTTAGATTCTGCAATATAAAACATGCCGTAAGAATTACTTTGCATTTATCTCAATGTAAGATTGCATATATTGAATACGTAATAAATGACCATACTCACATCTGTAACCACCAAAACCGGCACCATAACCGCTGCCATACCCTCCATAACCACCGCCATAACCACCGTAACCGCCATAACCTCCAAAACCGCCGCCATACCCTCCATAACCGCCGCCATAACCTCCATAACCACCGCCATAACTTCCGTAACCACCACCATACCCTGCACCATAACTGCCACCATATCCTCCCCTATTTCCCCAGTGGCACCATTTGCAAGACTTTTTGTGGTATCTGGAATATCCTCCGTAGCCACCAAATCCTCCTCCGTATCCACCGTAACCTCCGTATCTACCGTAACCTCCGTATCCACCGACACCTCCATCACCTCCGTATCCGCCATAACCTCCGTATCCACTGTAACCTCCGTATCCACCGACACCTCCATAACCTCCGTAACCGCCAAAACCACCATAGCCGCCATAACCTCCGTATCCTCCGTATCCACCGTAACCTCCCGATCCCCTGTACCAGCCGTGACCATGATGCCTTTCAAAGAAGGCACAACAGACTGCTATCAATAGGCAGAGAACCAGAAGTGTCTTCATCTTGGTGCTAAGTGGAAAATAAAGTTAGGCGTCACAGTCATACGTTGAAAAGTAATCAAAAACATAGATTTTGACAATGAATTCAATGGATTTTCAAGAATTTATAGAGAGCATGGGTGCATAGTGGTACATGTACCAATACCCTGTTACTATTGGTAACACTGATTACGGTTGATGTCACTTGTTGACAATTTACTTTGAACGGATTTTTATCATACTTTTTGTGTCATTGGCAATATAATAAACATTGGTAACAAAGCTGAACCAATGGCACCAATGGCATACCAACAGACTGATCTTGATCATGAACTTGGAATTTGGTCGTTAGTTTTGGCCAGTTATAATTTTAATTTGTATTTTTATTAATAACTTTTATCCAAAAATAACTTTGTTTATTTACATTTTTGCACTTTTTATACATTGTATTTTGTAAATTTGCAATATAATTTAAGAGTAATATGATCAATTAGATCAATTACGTTTAAACAACAATGAAAATCAGATCAGGACCGCCATTTTGAATTACGCCATAAGCAAAACTCGCCAACACTACCATAGCACTAGTCTGTCTACCAATGGCAAATTGTAGACAGTAAACATTGGAACCATTGGTATGCCGATGGTAAGTAAACCTACCAACTGTCACCAATGGTTTTACTCCGAACGCACCCAATATCTTCTATTTCTTCAATCTTATTTTTTTATTAGATCAACATGAATATAATCAATTTGACAGGCAATTTAAACAAAATCAAGTTGAATCTTCTTGTTATTATGTTGCATTGACTAACTTTTGGAATTAAAGCATTAAATGATTAATTTTAATACTTTATAGATATAATTGAATTAAAAGACCAAGCCCAAGAAATGCTCGGATGAAAACTTGGTCTTTTGTTTTGTATTTGATCAGTTTCTTAAAGATGTTTAATTCACAGTTTTAGACCTTGGTACTATAATAGCACACCAGTGTTTTTTCACATATTCCCTTTCATTTCCATGAAGTAGTGCAGACTGTTTTTAACTTTCTATCATAATTAGTCTTATAGCATTGTTTTTGAAAAAGACATACTTAAGTTACATAATATTGTGAGGGAAACATAAAATAAAATCTTTAAGTCAAACACACATTAAACATATATTTAGATTTTTTTAATTTGTAGAACATTGTTCTTACTTCTATTTGATAATTATGTGACGAATTACCAGAGCAACATTAAAGGTTCATTGCACCTCAGAAATCCGTATTTTTGTGTAGTTCTTTAGAAATGCCAGTCATGTGTTTAATATATGTCAATAATGGATTGATATTATATTTAGATGTTTTAAAACTGAAATTGGTAGCACTGGACATGCAGTTATGTGTCGTAAAATAGCAAAATATTTTGCCAGTCAGGGGTCTTAACACTTGTCATGCTATTAGTAAATTAAATGAACTGACTTCATAGCTATTGGTAAAAAGTTACAAAATGGAAATACAAATTATAGATTGACTGCCGCTCATGGCCAGATGGACGGACGACTGCTGGCTGGTCATGTTCTGCACTGGTCGCATAGCCAAACTTAGTCATCTGTTGTAGGTTGATTCAGGAACGAATAATTCCATTCAAAATTCTCGAATGAAAAAAATAGTTTTAGCAAGTTATCTGACAATCATAAGCCCATTATGCCTCATAAATGCTGTTATTTTTATTTCTCAACAATCTGTTGTTTTTTATTTATCTTGTTACAGTTTTCGAAAACATAAATATTTGCTACATACATAAATGATATTTTGCATCTTTAGCTCTCTTGGCAATTGGTATAATTATAGTCAAGTAGTATTTTTGCAGGCAAATTACATGCAAGTAAAAAAAAAGTTACAATCAATACCCCGGTTATAGTTTTTATACATTTTTGTTTATCATTTTTAAATGACAAAGTGTACAAAAATTTTTATAACAGTTTTTCAGTGGATGTCAAGAACCGCATTTTACATATATTTAGTATGTTTCAATGCCGTGATAATTTAAGAAACGAATCAATTCTTTTTTGAGACATCTTTGCTCCTCAGAATTGTCTCTGGCATTTCCAATAATGATTGAAAATAAATCAATAAATATTATATCATGATAGAAAGATCAACATTCAACTGCATTATTATAATTTGACGAATAAATTGCATAAAATTGCACAAATAAATTGGGTTACGTTAGTTAGGGACATATTTCTTATAAAAAAAACAATCCGAGCAAATTTGACGATATACTTTTGTATCAGAATTTAAAAGATATAATAAAGTGTTTCAGCACATTTACCAATAACTTGCTGAATTTATGTATTTCTGTTTTGGATTTGCCAAGCTCTCAACAGTCTATTTAAAATTTAAGAGATTTTAATGTTGCATGCCTCCAGATGCGCCAAAATATTTCAAGAAAAACCAAACTAGCGAAAAAAAGTAGTAAGATTTTAAGAAAAGTAAAAAGATTCAGGATTCAAGTAATTATTTGATTAATAACTGATTTTGCAAGATTTATCACCATATTTCCACTGCGTCATATTTATTCTTAATAAGTTAATAGGTTTAGCGTCAAAACTTACATTCTGTTTGTTAAAGATCACTCGTATTATAATGATAACTTTGAGTTATTATATATTCTCTTTTGGTATCCTTGTAAAGTATTATATACAAATCAAAATTAAAAATATATCTTTTTTTTTCAAAAAAAAATAAATATTAGTAATAATGATCAAATCTATTGTGTATACCAGAAAATATTTTCTCAGAGAAATACAATAAGTAGTAAAAAATAATGGAATTTATTGTTCCAAAATAAAAATCTGAAACATACCTTCTCAACGCCCGTTTTGTCTACAAAATTGTTGTCCCGACTCGGTACTCCAGCTGCCTTATATAAGACGTTAAGGGACGTTTTAAGAATACAAATGAAGTGTGTGCCATAATCTTTTATAAAGTTAATGACAATTAAAAAGTTATAAAATTAAAACTTTAATGGTATGTGCAGTAAGACAAATAACTGCATAAGAAATAAAATGAGATTGTCTTATAAAAACAGTACATAAAAACATTGGATAGTTAATAAAACTCCTAAAATAAAATGCGATTTCGAAATCAACTTTAAGCAACGTTTATGGTCATAAAACAACTGTATTGGAAACACTTAACAGTTAAAAGAAAATGATTTTGATTATTGGAAGAAAAAATAAAAGTAGAAGAAAAAGATGGTGATCATGGTGATTACGACGACAACAATGATGATGATAATGACGATGATGATGGTGATGGTGATGATGATGGTGATGGTGATGATGATGATAATGATAATGATGAATGACATTAATTTACATGGATGTGGAGGAATTTCTCTTTCATAGTTTGTTTTAAAAACTAGAATTCTTTACAAAGTTGCTGCATTCGTATTGCCTGCACTTAAGCATCACATATGTACACTACCCTTGAAATATGTCGTACCGTAGTAACTTAGCAAACTAAACTAACTGTTCATTACTAACCAGATTGCTAACCAACCAGACAAAACTTTTTTATGTCCTGTACCAGGTATTTTTTATAGTAAAATGATCTAAATTTGGTAAAACGGTATTGCATTATTTTTAATGGAATTTTTTTTCATTCAGACGTAGTCAAATTCATCAAAAACAATTTGTATACAAAAAAGTAGAGTATGCATGGAATAAACCCAATTAAAAAATACTATCAAGGTGGACCACGTAAAAATTAATTTACAGTATCAAATGAAATCTTGCATTTTCACAGTATTGGCCATTTTTTTTTTTTGATTTTTCTAAGTCACCCTGGCACTGTGATGGTCACATTGCGACTTTCCAGCATTACTAGTAATGGTAATGGAATACTTCAGACACGAGCAACATATTCTTGTTTATTCAATACGAAATTTATGAAAGTGAATTCCAAAAAAAATGTTTAGATAGCAGAAAAGGTTAAATTGAGTCCGTTTCTTTTTGGAGAAACTGGAAAGTGCAACATCGTTGACACCCCCTAACACCGACTTATCGGATATTCAATCCTCAACAGTAAATGATCCCGAAGAAACAAGAAATACAAGAACCGTGAAGAATTTCTCTGTTTGTTTGTTTGGGTTTTACGTTACATCGACAGAGTATAGGTCATATGGCGACGTTCAAGCTTAACTAGTGGAGGAAGACCTCTGATGTCATTCCATGCATTATTTCAGGCACGAACGGGCACCTAAGTAGAACCACCGTCGTTCCGTAAACAAGCACTATAGCTTCCTCATATCGAAAGTTCCTGTCGAGATTCAAACCAACAGCGGTGAGCGGCAAGTGGCTCAAAGACTATGACCTTAACTCGCGATTCGAACCAACAGCGGTGAGCGGCTAGTGGCTCAAAGACTATGACCTTAACCACAACTCTGAAGAAGTACAATACAACTTTTTACAGTTGGCACATATTACAAAGCGCCTGTGATTGTGAGTATTGACATTCTGGAAAGCGGGCAAGAAGAAAACAACACACAAGCAAACAAAAAGAACAAAAAAAAAACACCCAAAAACATCATGATAATAAATAATTGAAACACATATTCCGATATTGTTGACTATTCCCTTTTTATTATATCGTTTCTAATTAAGTTTTCGTGTGACATCAACAGAAATAATGTGTATGTACCAAGAAGTAACCAGTTATTAGGCATTGAACTATACACAAATGGGCTCTTTAATAAAGAAAAATACGTTTAACTTGTACCGCGATATTTTGTACATTGACCTTAAGTAAAGTTTCCTTTAGCCACAGAATGTGTAATGTTTTAAGATGCAAGAAATACTTCTTAAGC